CAATTTACACGGAAAAGATAATGGAGAGGTATAAGGGTATTAAGAGACACGAGGTTCCACCCCATGTTTTTGCCATTACGGACACTGCATACCGTTCTATGCTTCAAGGTAATTAGTCTTTCTATTTGCCGTTCGCTAATTTCTTGAGTCATTAACGGTTATCAAGATATTTAATCGCCGTGTTTGATCATCTTTGGCCAATTTGTGAATTTTACGTTATTTTACAATCTTTTCTAAATCTTAGCATTTTGTTCAAATTTCAACTACTAACTGTAGTTTTAATCATATGGGTATGCTTTTTAAAAATATTTTGGGCATTGTACGTATGTATTTATTTGTTTACAGATCGCGAGGACCAGTCAATTTTATGCACCGGTGAATCCGGCGCTGGTAAAACTGAAAACACGAAGAAAGTAATTCAATACTTGGCATATGTTGCTGCCTCAAAACCGAAATCGAATGCGGTAAGTTAATTAATTAAATATCTCGGTTTTAGACAGGATTTGATTTGTAATAAGAATCATAAGTTTTATAGCATTTAAGATATAAAAAATAAAAAACAATATTATTTTACTTTATTATTTCTGTATAAAATTCTATGGAAATTTGTAGAATAGATATTTTTGTTAGAATAGAATTGTTAATAATATACATTGTTTTTTCTTCTTTGCACTTGATTTTTTATTTTTTATTATAATTATTTTAACATATGATAGATTTTTATAATTATAATTTTTGTTATGAAAGAATTATGGAAGTATGGAGATATTGCAGATATTCCCCATATTTTCCATTTTCGTCTATCTAGATATTTTTAATAGAAATGTAGAATTCATTTCATACTATTCATTTTAAAATGATTAAATATATATAAGATGTAAAATTATATTAATTTTTTCTATGTTAAACATTTTACACAAACAATAGCCTATACTTTTCTTTTTTTTTTTTTTTTAGTTATTTCTTCCTAGTATTATAGTAGTAATTTTATTTTTGCATTTTCTTAATTTAAATATTGTATTATAGCATAGTATAGTCGATGAAGTAAAATTTGACGCACTTATTAAAATGTAATTGAGTGTCGTATCTTCCAATGTTCTTTGGAAGAATTCAAATTCAAAAAAAATCGTTTCGTTTCAATTACTAATTTAAGAGTATTGTAAATTTAATTTTCAGTGCATGAAAATTTCTGTACATAACCTTTCTTTTCTCTTTCCGTGCATGATGCTTCGTAAATTTCAATTACAAATGTAAACAAAAATATAAGTTAAAAAAAGAAAATAGAATAAAATTACATAATACAGAATTTAAAAAAATTTTAGAAACGTACTGAATCAATTAAATGTTAAAAGCAACTGAAACAAAAATTATATCAATTAGTATTATAATATCATAGATCTTTTTTAAAATAGATTTTCTCAAGTTTATTTTTTAACGATCATAATAATTTTTCTTCTTACAAATTTTTTTAATTTGTTCAAAATAACCAACATAATTAAAATATAATTGGAGAAATATATTTACATTGTAAACAGCATAACAAAGGATGGAAATTCAGCCTCAGTTTCCGCGGTTAGATAAAATTTGAACACGAATAAGATAAACTGTAACACACTTTTTAAAATATACTAAAAAAAAAAAAAAACAACTGTTGTCCGATATTCAAGAGATACTGCTTAATAAATCAGCCTTAAATTTAAAGTTATTTTTATTAAAAGATCGATTAATTGTAATCGTGGAAGATACGAAAAGTATTTGATATTTTAATATTAATTACTGGATGATGATAAAAAAAAAAAGAAAAAAAGGAATAAAACGATATATAAGTAAATGCGTACGTTACACGCCGATTGTGTAAGAATTACGTGAATCGTTTACGAAGTCGATCATCGAATACTGGGCGACTGTTCTGCGATCGCGATAGATAATGATAGGCCATCGTAGATCACTGGCTCTCGAAGGATCTTTCCTTTTTCAGCGAAACGATCCACTTATCGGCCTAACTCGGCTTTGACTCATTCCCGTCGGACTATTCTGAGTCACCGTATGCTTCGAAACTTGTGTTCTTATATAGGAAAAAAATTACCGTCGTTCCCTTTTCGTGTGTTTCATAATTCGACATTAACACAATCGCATGAATTGTATAAATTGTATAATTTTGCAAAATCATCAAAAGTCGGGAGGAGACGATCCCGTGATGTGCCAGAAATTCAACATGATTATTTGAAATATAAATAATTTTAAAAAATAATTTATATATATATATATACAATTTGTAAAATCCCATTGCAAATATAATATCAAATATCGAAGAAAAAAATATCGATATGGTCGATCAGATTCGAAACCATATAGGTATCGAGTTGTTATTAATTATAATGAAAATAAATTTTTTTTTTTTTTTTGCATAATGAATTTTTTAGATACATACATACATACATACATCTATTTAAAGATTTATTCGGATTTTTATCGATTCACACCGAGCAAGGATTCTGGATATTTGGTGGTGTTTCAGTTGTTTGAATTTTTTTCAAAACTTCGAACTGAAAATTAAGACCCGTGAACACTCTAAGGCTCGTGAATTTAATTTTGTAAATTCTTTCATTCCCGGTGCTGACTTTCGGCGGCCACAACATACCTAGACACCAAGTCCGGCATTAATCATAGTAAGTCAACAACAAAATGATCAACATTCCGCTCACGCGATATATATATATATGCGCTATCTGCCTTCTTATGTCTCTTACGTTTCTTTTCTTTTTATTTTTTTTTTTTTTTTTTTTTTTTTTTGCTTTTTGTTTTTGTCTTTTT